CACCGCTGGTTCTCTTCCCAACCATCAACCGTCGTTAGACTTCCGCCTATTTGTTTGTTGTCACTGAACTTCTTCTCGATCATCGCCATCGCCAAAATTCTGCCCGTTCATTGGACATTGTTGGATCTTTAACCTTCGTTATACCTCTCCTAACTATTGTCGCCAGATTTCCAACATCTATCATTTAATCGATCTCAATAATACCCATCCAAAGTTTAGCAAGATCGTCAACATATTGCACTTATATTGTCCTCGAGTTGAAGGATGGATCAAATTTTGTAACCCATTCAAACAATAGTGGAACCATTTTAGTTGAGCAGGGCCCTGTGGTTTTTCCCTTTTCAGGGGTTTCCACGTAAAATTTCTAATATTTCTTTGTCATCTTAATTGTCTGTTTGTGTGCTAAATTTTAAACATTTTCACTCTACCGCAACAAATTTCTCAACCCATAACAACCATGATCTTCATTGATGATGTAGGAACATCATAACTATTAATGGCTTAAGGACTAGCATACCTATAATATTCTAGATAGTTCTATTTTGCTTTATAAATAGCTAGCTAATGTAAGAGAGTGGTATATATTGATGAATATTATCTATTTTTGAAGCTTTAAGCTTGGTGTTACCTTTGTTCCTTGGATTGAAATTAAATCCTTTAAGCATCATCTTCTTCCAAAGATCCAACCCACATCAGTTGGTATCAGAGCCCAGAGCTTGTGAAGAACGATGGATTGCATAAAAAGGTGGGCTGTCGACGGCGATCGAAGCCGAAGAAGGTGGGCGGACGACGAAGATCGACACCAAATAAGATGGGCGGTCGACGATGATCGACGCCGAAGAAACCCTGTTGGGTAGCTCAAGTAATTGCATCACTTGATCGAATGGATGCTTTATGTGTTAATTTCATACATTCCCTGGAGAGAACCATGCACAGGTCGTCTACCATACCGGCCCCGTCGCTCCTCTTCTCCTCCAACACGCACGCACAAACATGTTAAGATAGTTGCTATTTGTATGCTTTACATTTTTGCAACTTATGAAGTTTTGATAATTCCAAACATTATTGTTCAAATGTGTAGTTATCTCATAACATTTCTTTTTTTAGAAGAATTGTATTTGCTCTTGTGTGTACTGACATTTCAGGAAAAACGAACTCCAGACTACGAAGACTTCAAATTAAATTCAGCATGCGATATTTTGTAAAATTTGAAGCTTGCACTTTTCTTAGAAATCAAATTGAAAGGGAGTGATTGTATTTTGAGTGAATAAAAACATACACACACATAAGGAGATCATATAAAATTTATACTGATCGTACAGGACGATTTCCAGTTCATACTGGACGATCAGACAGTTATCTCCTATAGAGCATATGGAACGAATAGGAACTTGCTCGAAAAATTTTTCTAAGTCCTATTCGTCCAGGACGAAATAAAATATCGTACAGGA